GGTCACACTACCAGTAAGCCATCAAGACCAGGCAGGGTGACAGATGACAGTGAGGAGAATTTAGAATGGAAAATCCAGAGTATGGGTATCAGTTGTGGGCCTGAGATCAACAGCAGTGATCAGGGCTGTAGTTCATTCCATTAACCTGGCCCTTCTTCACAAAAAAAGACCCCTGGGAATGAAGGAAGAACTGCTCCACAATCGCTTGTAGAGGGGGAGATGTGTGCAACCGTGAGAATGTGCCTTTCTTGTCTCTGACTGTGGGGAGCATAACTGATTGATGCCCCCAGCTGCTATATTGTAAGTACACTACCGCATTTGCTCTGAGGCTATGTTTCCTGTGGTCTGTTTCTAGCCAGTGAGGTGCACAGCAGGGATATTGCACCAGGCCCTTTCCTGTGAGGCAGAGGATGCCTCTGACTGATGACTTTGGCCTGAGGATTCTATGTTAGCTTTGCAGAAACTTTCTGAAAGCTTCATGGCAGTCTAAAGCTCTTCCTATCCTACTTTACTTCTTTCCCTTTCTCCTTCCTATGGGTCAGACGTGTGTCATTGTCTGACAGATCTCATCCTTCTCTAGCTCCCTCCCCATTTTCTTTCAGAGGCACTCTCAACCAATTTCTTGCAAGTCTAATTTGATCTTGATGCTTACTTCTTGGAGGACCTGAATGAACACAGGTAGCTATAAATTTACCCATTGTATAGATGAAGAAACTATACTTCAGAGGGATTAAGTAACCTGCACAAGGTTAAACAGCCACTTAGTGGCAGAGCAATGATATAAATCCAGGATTATCTGGCTTCAAAGCCTGAGTACCTAGATGTCATATTCTTGTTTTTCTGCCTCTGCCCTTTCTGTTTGATTCATTCTCCCTTAGTCTCCTGGAAGGGCTTTTGAATATTCTAGTCTGTCTCTACCTTGCAAAGGCAGGAGGAGTTTTTGACTGCACTTGTACCAGAATGTGAAAGGAATAACAGTTGTACTCCTGGGGTTGGTAGTTCTTGAGGTTAAAGAGTCCCCCTGGGGAAGGAGAAACTCAGAGGATATGGTTGGGGCAGTTTTGTTGAGCTTTCCCTCCGCTGCCTGGAAAGTCTCCTTGGAGAGTTAAATTGTGAAAGTTTAGTTTTATAAGAGAAACCATATGCCTTTATACTCATTATCTTATTAGAACATGTCCCTCCCTCACACAAAATCTTCTAGGATTTAGTAAGGTTTCTTTTTTTATTGAATAAAACACAAAATTTTTAAGGTGAACACTGAAATGAAAACCAAGGGCTGTCTGGACTTTGTGGCTCAGGTACTATGTCTGTGGAATTAATTCACTTTTTCCTGATGAGTTTATTTGTTCTCCTTTCACTGTTTCTCTTCCCAGTTTTTCTTGAACTCACCACATCAATTCCCACCATTCCACTGAGAATGTTCTTGGGAAGGTCCCCAGTGGCCTTCAGGTTATGAAATCCAATATTCACTTTCTCAGTTCCCATATTGCTTGTCCCTAGGCAATGTTAACATAGTTGATCACTCCCTAATCTTACCTTAAAAATGATCTTCATATTCACCTATCTTTGGAGACACCACCTTTCACTGTTTTTCTGCCTATATCATGAACTGCTCCTTGTCATATTTCTTATTATATTAGAGTGCCCTAGGACTCAGGCCTCAGCAAACTACTTCTATATTGGGCCAGATACTAAATATTTTTTTGTTTGGGGGCCATATGGTCTCTATTACAACTACTCAAGAAGCCATAGACAGTATAGTAGTTCCCCATTATCTGTGGTTTCAGTTACTCACGGTGTGGTAGCAGATGTTCCTCCTGTTATAACGTCAGAAGGTCAGTAGTAGCTTAACAGTACTTCACAATGCCTGTATCATTTACCTCATTTTGTCTTATCATGTAGGTATTTTATCATCTTACATTATCACAAGAAGGATGAATACATATAGTAAGATATTTTGAGAGAGACCACATTCATATAACTTTTATTACAGTATATTGTTAAAATGATTCTTTTTTATTATTAGTTATTTTTGATCTCAGTGTGCCTGATTTTTAATTTTTTTAATGTTTATTTATTTTTGAGAGATAGAGACAGAGCAGGAGCAGGGGAGGGTCAGAGAGAGAAGGGGACACAGAATCTGAAGCAGGATTCAGGCTCTGAGCTGTCAGCACAGAGCCTGATGTGGGACTTGAACTCACAAACTGTGGGATCATAACCTGAGCCAAAGTCAGACACTTAACTGACTGAGCCACCCAGGCACCCCCTAGTCCTAGTGTGCCTGATTCTTAAACTTTATCATAGGTATGTATGTATAGGGAAGTGTGTGTGTGTGTGTGTGTGTGTGTGTGTGTGTACACAGTTCAGTACTGTCCACAGTTTCAGGCATCAGCTGAGGGTCTTGGAACATATCCCTTGAGGATAAGGTAGTGGGGGACGACTCTACATAAGTGAATGTTGAATTGATCATTGTCAAGATTGCTATATTTATTCAGTGCTTATGATGAGCCTTGCATTGCTAAGTAAACAATAATTTGTCAACCTGGTATTTCAGCATAGTTATGCGAACATGACTGGAGCTCAGAGGGAGGAAAAGTTCCCTTCCTGTGTACATAAGGGCAAAGAATTCTGTTTTGAAATGTCTGTTTCTCTAGGCCCTGTGCCAAATTTTATTTGAAATTCAGGGATTTTGAAAGGCTCAAGTCTCCATCTGAACTCTTTTTTCTTGTTAATGTCAGTATTCAGCCTTTGCTAATGACCTGAGAGTAGGAAGTATGTAGGGGTAAGGAGGAGAAGAGCTTCAGCTGCTGGGGGGAATGTGGGGCAGCTTCTTGGTAGGGTCTAAGAAAGAAAGAGGTTACTTTATTTGTTGAGATGTAGTGATTAAACTCCCAAAGTGCATTTTGAGAGACAGTTGCACACAAGAATAAAGATGACAATTAAAGTTAATTACTGTTGTTGTAGATGTTTGCATTTCTATAGCAGTTTGTATTTACTAAGAATTTTGTAATCAGTTATTAACTCTCCCTTACCAGAGCCTTGTGACATGGGCAACATTACTACAGATGTTTGTTTCGTCTTCTGGGAAGAAATATGAGCTTCTTTAGCCAAATACTAGGATTAAGGAATCAAAATCCTTTTTTTTTTTTTTCAACGTTTATTTATTTTTGGGACAGAGAGAGACAGAGCATGAACAGGGGAGGGGCAGAGAGAGGGAGACATAGAATCGGAAACAGGCTCCTGGCTCTGAGCCATCAGCCCAGAGCCTGACGCGGGGCTCGAACTCACGGACCGCGAGATCGTGACCTGGCTGAAGCCGGACGCTTAACCGACTGCGCCACCCAGGCGCCCCAAGGAATCAAAATCCTTATTGCTGCTCTTTCACTGACTGTGTGATTTTGAGAATCCAAATAATGAGAACTTGAACATTGTCTTACTCTGTAATTTTATTATGAAGAATAACTCATGAAGATGGTTCTGGGGTTTGGTAAATTAAAAAAGGTATGTAATAATATTTACCTCTCAAATTCATTTTCCTTTAGGTTTTATTTTTTTAATTTTTAATTTTTTTAAGTTTATTTATTTATTTTGAGAGAGAGACAGAGAGAGAGCACGAGCAGGGGGAGGGGCAAGAGAGAAGGGATCCCAAGAAGGCTCTACACTCAGTGTGGAGCCTGACATGGGGCTTGAACTCATGAAATGTGATATCATGAGTTCTCATGATCATGAAATCAAGAGTCGGATGCTTAACCAACTGAGCCACCCAGGTGCCCCATTTTCCTCCAGGTTTAAAAAAAATAAAATTAATAATAGCATTTATGGAGTATTTTTACATATCAAGTACTTAGCCTAGTACCTAGCATATTAATAAACCCTTAATGAAAATTGATAATAAAAATTATCAATACTGTAATAAAACTTATGTAATATATGCATTATTTTTGCTTCCATTTGATTGCAGTCATATTACTGTCTTTGGATGAAGATGCATGCAGATGTACACTCACTTATTCAGCAATATTTGTTGAGTGACTACCATTTATCATGCAGTGTTCCTGGAGCTAGGGATATAGCAGTAAACAAAAAGGAGTTCCTACTCTGATGAAGTTTATATTTTGGCAGGAGGGGGAGGACTCACATTATCGTGGTGGAGAGGCTTATATTCCAGTGGGAGTTAGGCCAAGATAGAGAGGGTAGAAGCATGATTAGGATATATTTAGAAAATATGTGGAGAACTTTTTTCTGATTTTTATATAAAATAGTATTTTATTATAGCAGTAGATTAAGAACAAGCTATTTTTATAAAAAATATTTAAATGCATACTTGTATATTTTATTTTAAAAACAAATATACTGGGGCACTTGGGTGGCTCTGTCACTTAAGGGCCTGACTCTTGATTTTGGCTCACATCATGATCTCATGGTTGGTGACATCAAGCCCTGCATGGGTCTCTGCACTGCTGATAGCATGGAGCCTGCTTGGGATTTTCTCTCTCTGCCCCTTTTGTATTCTTTGGGTAAATACCCAATAATAGAATTATTGAATCATATGGTAATTCTATTCTTAATTTTTTGAGGAACCTCTGTATTGTTTTCTACAGTTTTCTGGCAGTTTGCATCTCCACCAACAGCACACAGGGTTCTTTTTCTCCACATCCTCACCAAACTTATTTATTATGTTTTTTATTTTAGCTATTCTGACAGGTGTGAACTGATATCTCATTGATATGAGATGGTTTTGATTTGCATTTCCTTGATGATGAGTGATATTGAATTTTTTCATGTGTCTGTTGGCCATCTGTATGTCTTTTTTGGAGAAATGTCTACTCATGTCTTCTGCCCGTTATTTAATTGGGTTATTTGGTTTTTGGGTGTAGAATTGTATGAGTTATCTATGTATTTTGGATACTAACCCCTTCTCTTATTCAGTAGGTTGTCTTTTTGTTTTGTTGATTGTTTCCTTTGCTGTGCAGAAGCTTTATATTTTGATGTAGTCCCAATAGTTTATTTTTGCTTTTATTTCCCTTGCTATAGGAGACATATCTAGAAAAAATCTTCAAGCTTTTTTATTACATGAAGCCCACAGGATTCCTGGTTCTTCTTTTAATGGTGAGGCCTCCATGCTCTGCCTTTCTGTTGGAAAACCCTGTAAGGGTAAGAAACAAGAGAAAATTACAGGGGAATACTCCCAGAAGATGTCTCTGATCTTGGATTCCTTCTGTTTTACCAAAGGAAAATTCAAACAGGTTAGCCTCTGACATGAAGAGACCCAGGCATAAGTCCACAGCAGCATGTAAGTACACTGAGAAACCTGCATAAAAATAGACCATCTCAGGCACTCAGAACTTAAACTTCAGGCTTGGATTAAGCTCCTAGACACATTAGGGAGACAACCAACAATTATTCTATTTTACATGGAAATGCTAATTTCACTTGCAAAAGAGAAGTACTAAAATAGTATTATGATCATAATAGTAGAAATGTAGGAGTATGAAATTTGTAATGTTATAGACAAATTAAGCATGAAATGCAAATACCACAGTAGAGTGGGCTGGGTATCCAGATTTCAGCTGAAATTCTCTGAAAGGGTTACAATGGCTAGCTAGTGCCACTGATTAAAGGGCCCTAGAGTAGAGTGTTAGGAGAAGGAACAAGTATAAAGAGAGGATATAGACAAAAGGTAAAGTGGCCTTAATGTTTTTGACCTCTTCTTAGCTCTTCTCAGGAGGCTGTTCATAGATTTGAATATTTATAGTTGTGTATTCTCTTACTGGAGTATGGGTACATGAGAGCTAATTTAATAACTATTACTTTTAATATGATGACTGTGAGTGGTAGCTTGAAGACTGTCGTAGTGTTCTTGGGCTTTTATATACCAAAATATAATAGACTGGCTGGCTTATAAACAACAGAAATTTATTTCTCACAGTTCTGGAGGTTGGAAAGTCCAGGATTGAAGTGCCTGTAGATTCATTGTCTTGTGGGTAAGGGGCATTAAGGAATCTACTACTGAAATCATTGCTTTACTGTATGCTAACTAATTTGGATATAAATTTTAAAAAATAAAAAATAAAGTTAAAGAAAAAAAGATTTAAAAACCAAAAAAAAAAAAAAAAAAAAAGGAATT